TTATTCACACATTCTGATTGGTTCTCACTTACGATCTATTAGAGGACAGACGTCTAAATGACGTCATTGTTAAAAACTTTTTTTCTGTGTATTTTAATTCTTTATTATATGAAACAAATTGATTCCAAGTTGATATACGTCTGATCAGTAATAGATCACAGAGGACGTCAAAATGTGGTAGGAACATCGGTGACACACTTGGCTGCGCCTCGTGAGCCACTTTTTTGTTCTTACCACATTTTGACGTCATCTGTGATCTATTACTGAACAGATGCACGGCAACTTGGAATCTATTTGTTAAAAAGAATGTAAGAGAGAACCAGTCAAAATGTCTGGGTATTTCAGCATATTTTAAAAATTCTCATTTGACAGTTACATCAAGTACAGAGATGTGTTTCACCAAAATTCATCTAGGTTTCCTCTAATCTTCAGCATATTTTGAAAATTTGTATTTTCTTGTTAAATGTGGAGTGTAATGAAATTTGTGCCAAGGAAGCATAGCACTTCTCCTTTTACAAATCCTTTCTTTACGTCTGGAGAATGATGTGAAGTTAAAATTTGTATATTCTTGGAAGATCTCTGTCTCTCTGTAATGTGTTTGTACATAAAAGGTGGATTCCCTATTAATATTTTCCCTTTGCATGTTTTTGTGCCAGAGAGTGTGATTTTCTGACATACATGTAAATATGTCAGTCCTAAATTTGTTCATCTGTCTGTTGTTCATTTGATGGGTTCCTGATGTGCTACTTGCATGACTCAATCTTTTATCTTTCTACCTTTGTCTCTGTTTTCTTTTGCAATTTTCACTGCTTCTTATTTATTTGGGTTATGTTTCACCCTTGTAGTTCATTTCTGAAAAGGCTGAGAATGCAAACTTATAAGACTCAACTTCTTTATTGCCTGCTTGTGCTCTCAAATTTACATGGAGCTTGTTGACCTTGTTTAGTTTAGATTTCGATTCCGTTGCTAATTTGTTTACATCACTAGCTTTTAAATTGATTGAGTATAAACCACTAATTCTCTGTTCTTTGAAAGTTCTATTACATTTATCTTTCTAGCTTTTGCTTGCTCTATTTCTCTGAGCCTTGTTATAAGTCTCTTAATGCATCTGTAGTGAAATTTCACTCAAGCTCCCACAAGATCACGCTCTGCTTTCTTTTAAGCTTAGATCTGATTTAAAATCTTCATTGATTACAATGTTTGCCCTTACATTGTATCATAGGCTTTTTGGGATGTGCCTTCTCGAGATGAGCTTGTAAGAGTTGAAGAGATTTCTTTTCCAGTAGTGTCAGGGATCTCTAGACTCCATTTCATTAGGGCTTCACTTTTGGTACACAGTCAATTTCCTCCATCTCCCCATCATATTCTGATTGATTAAAAGCGTCGAATGCCTCGTAGTCATATAGTCACTATCCAACTTTGAGTCTCAAGATGATATGGCTTTCTTTAGGTGCTTTATGGAAGGTCCTTGGCATTTAGAGAAAGGAAAATTCCCAAAATCATTTCCTGTCTTGACAATGTGTCTTTAAGTTTTTCTTTGCAGCAGTGTAGCATGGTTCCTGGGGTGACACAACAACATTCCCCAATCCAGGGCCCAAGATGCACCTTCATGGACATGAAAAATTTTAAGCTTTCACAGTTTGAAGAATTGCAAGGTTTTATGCAATAATTATTTCACTGCGATGATCAGTAAACAAGGAAATTTCTTTTATTGTAAAAAAAATTTGGGGGGTTAGTGGCACTTAAAAAAGCTTAGATTGCTGAATTTCTAAATTTTATTTGAGCTCTAGCTTTCAAAGTTTTAAACTACAATAAGAAACTTGGGGCTTTCAACTAAGCTGGTGTGAACCTGAAGATCAGCAAAAAGCAACAATGTTTTTACATTAACTGCAATGGTTCAAAGCTTTCAGACATTTCTACACTTTTTTTAAAATTTAAAATATGCATAGAATTGTGCAGGGCCCCCTGAGATAAAAAATAACACACATACACTTCATGATTGACTATTCCTGTTGGGCTGAAACCAAATGTACTTTTAGTGCATGTAGGCAACAAGTAAATAGTCTCCTCCAAACTTACTGCATTCTTGAGTCTGCACAAGGCCAAGAAACCCTGGAAGTAATATAGTTTGTATGTCATGAACTATACATGACATGATTGTACATTATTTCAAGGTGCTTATCAATATTTTACTTGCAGAATATTTAATCTCTATGTAAAGTTCTGATTTTAATAAGTGAAGTTAGAAGCTATCATGCTTAGTTATATGTGAAAAATTTATTTCAGGTTTCTGTTAAGAAATATTTGATAGCAATGGTAGATCCTGATGCTCCCTCCAGAGAAAGCCATAGTTGTAGAAGCTGGCTTCACTGGATTGTTGGTAACATTAAAGTGAGTAGAATATTACACCAATCTGTTTTACAAAATTTTTTTTTAACCTCCCAAGTAGAGTTATTACTATCATTAAAATTGTGTGTTTGTTTTGTTACTTACTTGTTGATTACTGTTGTCCTCTCCTAGGGAGATGACTTAAAAAAAGGCAATATCATAGGTGACACTTTCACAGGTAAACATGATTGTGTGCATGGCATGTGTTTAAACCAAAATCAGTGTTAAAAGCACTTTGGACCTTGAGTCAAACTATGTTCTAGAATGAAGTAATTTGATTTTGAACCCACTTCAGTCCCCCCAAAAAATATACCAGTCTACCTCTTACCAAGTGAGTTTGTACTCATTCTGTAAGTTATGGACCAAGTTGTTTCTGCTCTGATTTATAGCCTAAATGTTAAACTATCTGTCATTATACTTCTTTTGTATCACCCTTTTACCAGTGTTACTACATTTTGTTCTGCATCCTGCTTGCTTTTGGTCTATGATCTCTTATTACAGTCTATCTTTCAAACATTTTGCAGGTTACAACCCGCCTACTCCACCCTCAAGATCTGGTCCACACAGATACTACCTGTTTGCATTTGAACAAAAGCATTCCTTAGATGACAGAGCAGAGGTTGGCAAACGTTGCCAGTTCTCTGTTGATGATTACAAAGAAAAAAATGACTTGACTCCTGTGGCCATGAACATGTTCCAAACAGTTAATAATTCTTAAGTTTACTCTATGCAATTGTCATACATTTGAACTGAGAACAGAAGCCAAGTACTCAATTCATGGTTCTACATTTGGTTTTTATCATTTTCCAAGGCACAGAGGGACATGGTATTTAGAAATTTGATTTCTGCCAAACATGAAAATCAAAGTTGTAAATGTAACAGCTCATTTACATCAGGAAGTGTTGTGCTTTAAAATATTACAAAATATTCTATAGGAGAAACCAAGATAACTCTTAAATGCAGGAACTCATAAGATGAGACTTACTAATGGTAAGATTATTTATTATTTACAATATTATTTGCAAAAAAAGTGATACAGTATCTAGAACCTTGCTAACTCAAACAAAAAATGGTTCATGTTAGCTGAGTAAATGACTGAAAAAAGGGGTCAAGGAAAATCAGATCTTTTTTGAGTCACCAGAAATTTGAGTTTACTGAGTTTGAGTTGGCAGGGTTCTACTGTATATGTGTGAAACAGAATAACCATTGACCAGCATAAGGATGAAGCAGATTTTAAAAGTTAATAGATATATTTGTGATAAAGTCAAGAATTTCCTGACAGGAAACATCACTGTCATGAATTTTTGAGATAAGACAATGACAATAGAACTGCTTTGTAGTTGTGTTTACTATGGAGTAAAAATTCTTTGAAATAAAGTAAATGCTTTGTTGGAAATTGTTGCCAGGATGTTTCTTAATGTAAAAATAGTGCTTCTATTCACACATGCTCTCAAAACTCATTACAGAAATTATAATGACCCGATATGTGTACAAAAAAAAATTCTATTGAGCATGTTTTAAATGCACAGAACTAAACTACACAACATAATTGAAGGTCTGTTTTAAGTGTGGAACCTTACATTTTGGAGACTGGATGGGGCAAATGGTTACTGCAGTGGGGTCCAGGGTTTGAGGTTCAGATTTGAGCCCTGGCTGCACCATTCTTAAGGGTTTCAATAAAAGCTGATTACTGGTAGTCTACTGCTGCCTATAAGACTTCTTGCCATCTGTTGAGCTTGTGAAGCTCTTGAGTTTGGGTTTCACCTTTAGACCATTTTCTTGGCTTATTACACCATGGGCAGTCATATATTCAAAAAGTTATTGAGACCCTGTATTTCCTTCTTTACTTTTAAGTAAGACAATCTTCTTTACTTAAGTAAGACAATCTCATTGTGCCAATAAACTAACAGGGAAGCATGATGAAATGCTGAGAGTAACCTGTGATGTAAAAGCATCCCATCCTAGTAGCAATACTTTCAGCCACTTGATGCTTTTAACGCTAACATTGTGGGTCACATGTTGCATCTTAGGAGCTCACTTTGTCCTTTATGATAGAATTTGTAGAATATGTGAATATGTTCAGCTGTTGTTGTTTTGGTGCCTTGAATTTTCCCAAGCTGGGCTCAAGATTAAATTATGACAGCTTGCACATCATAAAGTGACACACCTGGCTTATCTCATACGAGAGTAACATGCTGCTTAACATGTGAATTCAGCTTACATGTCAAAGAACAAACACATTTCCTCCATTAGTGATATTGTCTGTTCTTACAATCCATCAAGCAGGGGATAGCAGCTAACTCCACACAACTTGAGTGAAATTAGATTAAAATAGATTGCTTGAGTGCCATACTCAACTAGAACTCAATGGTGCATTACATCATAAAGTTAGAGAGCTCATTCAAAGTAAAATTGTTTAAATTACAAATCAAATGCAACCTTACATGGGTGAGTCATGCTGATGATGATGATTGCCTTTCAGGTAGTACTGAAATAATGCGTTTGCAAACATGAAACATTAGGATGGGGCTTGTTTCATTAATAATTAGGTCAAGGCTGACATGAACAAGAGTCACCTAGAAAATTAACATACACACAAAAAAAACCAAAGGTTATGCCTTTTAATGTTTTATTAGAAAAAAAATGATTTACATTACTTTCAAGCTTAGCTACACTCTCTCTTTTAGTAGCCAGTGATCACACATTCAAGTTTCCAGAGGAATTAGTACAAAAAAATTGCTGTGAGGATTTTGTCCTTAACAGCATGCCTGTTTCTCTGTTTGAATTACCCTCTACTTTTTCTATTTTGAGAGGTTTGAAAAACTTTTCAGATTACATCAATTTTTGTTATATTTTAAATATGATTATTAATTGTACGATTTACTTCACCATTTCCATATGGTTATAATCTTTTTAACCCCTTACACCCCAACACAAGCATTCATATTCTCCATACAGTTCTCTTTACATTTCTTATCTCAGTGACAAAGAGAATTTGATTGACAATCAGGAGCTTCTTAAATTGGTGATCATCTTCATGTGTAATTTTCATTATGTATTCTTATCAGTTAAAAAAAGGTTCATATTTAGCCAAAAGCTGATGGGAACAGACTAAAGGAATGTATTATCCATGCTAAAACCTTAGTGCTATTTCATTTGTTTTGTTCCCACACCTTCTAGTTCTTGTCTGAATTTCAAATGAACCTGGCCTGTTCTAATACCCTCATTCAAGTTAAAATTAATGATTAAAAAAATATGCAAGGCTGTAAAGGAAGTTAAAGAGTAAAATAACTTTTAAAAACTGAAGCTTCAAAGCATACACAACACATTTACATCATTATTAATTTAAAATTAAAATTGGAAAAAGAAATGCAATTTTTTAATCTTACGTATCAGTCAGAAGTCCTGAATAGCTCACCAAAATTAAGAGACTTTGAGACAGTTTTGCAAATAGCTGTAACAGAAAGAAAATGACTAAAAAGAAAATTTTACTCACCATAAGACCCTGTGGCCTTAGGGTTAAAAAAGAGAAAAAAATACTGCTTTCAAAAACTGTTCCTTCAAGCACTGGTGGCCATGTCTTACAATGCCTTAGGATACTCAAACATTTGTCTCTTGAGCTTGACTTCTTATTGGGTTTGCTCCTAATGCCGGAGGCTTTTGCTTGAAAGCAGGCCAGCGACACACAGGACAACAATAATGACCACTGGAATTCCCCCCACAAAGCCACTCTTCAATGCACCTCTGATGGTAACAGTGACCACAAGGGAGGCCAAGTAACATGCAACCACTTTTGAAATCCTCCAGACATATTGAGCAGTCTTGTGCCACCAACATCCCAGGTGGTTTTACAGATTCTTTGCAACAAGAATTGTGCTTGCTTGAGCACTGCTTATGTTTGTTGTCAGAGCAATGATTCACCTGAGAATGACAGAATCTCCAAACTGGGAGGCTGTTAAGATATTCAGCAGGAATGACAGGACGGAGCCACAGTTCAGGGACTGCAAGGCGTCGAATAAGAAGTTCAAACCCATCCTCAAGACCGGAAACACTGTAGTTTATTCGTGACTGTCCCAAAGTGGGAAATGTCTGTACAACATTTGTAATGTAGTGAAGATCTTGAGTAAACCATTCTGTGATTGATGTTACATTGTCACTTTCACTCTCGTATCCAAAGTACCATCTAATTCTCTTCTGCACCCACCATATCATTATACCATAACAAAAATATCCCCCAAACATTAACCACTTGTGTTGTAATCCCAAACCTAAGTAATTTCTCATAATTGCTGCAGCATCTGATGTCATAGCATATCTGGAGTATTTCAGGACAAAATCCAGAACTGGAGTCAGTAACGGTAGTTGCAATATTGAGAGGACTGGAAGGCAAAGAATTATAAGGCTGGTATTATAAAATATCAGGAGCCATATGAAGTTAATTAATCTTTTCAGTATGCCCCCATCTATTATGAATAAAGCCATACAACAGCTCACATTTATCATCAGGAACACTGTCACAAATACATCATTCACTTCTGGATGTAGTGTTTTTAGGAATAGTTCAAGGTTATGATATCTTATCCACTCTCCTTTTCTATAACCGTACGTCAAATTCCCCTCTGGTGTAAATATCATGAGCCTTGGAAAATTTTTGATGTTGTAGTTTTTCAGGATATGTTTTTTTGTCGTCCAATCGAATACTCGTACGTGTCCAAATCGAACTCTTCCCGTAAACTGAACTGAAAGGGAAGCAAGGTATAAAGGAGGTTCTGGTAATGTCGTGAATAATACGACATAGACGGGATTTTCTTTTATTTTCTCTTTAAATGTATTAGAAAATTCTTCTACTCTGTCAAATGTTTCTATCTTCAAAGACAGCTCTTTGCTAATCCACCTGAACACCAGTTCCACCGAAGGTTTTGAATCGTATGTTTTTAAAATGACGTTACCCTTCGGTTGATTTCCCTGAGGCATAGAAATAGCGAGGGACGGCTCCTTCCAGCCATACTTAATGCACAATCTCGGATCATTGCCACAATTAAATGTTCCGATTCGAATACCAAATCGAACGATCTTCCGTTTGAGGACCAACCATTGCTTCCTACGGAGCAAGGACGAGTGACCTTCAGGTATGACATCAACCAACCATGTCCCGGCTTTGGTATCTTCCACTTCCTCAAAGAAGTGAGATGCTCCAGTAAATTGCAGCTCGTTGCTTTTCTCTTCGTCTTCTCCAGAACTTTCGGTGCTAATAGAGCAGCTTTCGGCCCCTGTCACCGCTCCGCAAGCCTCGACTAATTCAGCAAGCTCTTTCTTCTCCACCAAACCCGTGTAACTAACGCCCCTTTCTTCCAAAATCGCTTTTAGTTTTTTAACACTCAGAGCGAACGGACTCAACAGCTGACTAGCCAGACAACCAGCTTTCAGCCATGTCGATGAAATTTCGAAGATTCGAGCGGCAAGAAACACCAGAAGGAGATAGCTCAACAACACTACGAACAGCTTGGCCAACATGGCGACCATAGGTAATGATAAACACGAAGCTTATCAGGTGTTTAATTTGGCGGCAATTTTTTTATAAATTCTGCGATGTAATTGGTTGGTTCGAAAACGAGTCGCGACGGCGCGATGACAAGTGTGCGGCTCTTTTGACGCGTATTCCAAGAGCTGTAAAGTCTGATGAAAATTTGGACTCTTTTGTGAAGAAAGGAACTGAATTTCCATTTTTATGCGATATCAGGTGAAGATCGGGACAGCATGGACCCGATCACTTCAAAAAGAGTGAGTCATAAGCTGTGTTCTCTGATGAGGAGTTTCAAACGGAAGATGGAAGACACCTTTTGCAGACATCTCTTCAAATGGTGATCTTCCCGGCCAGCATAGTATCTCTAATGTTCTCTATCCTTCTTACAATCTGTCTTTAAGTTTACTTATTGTTATTTTCATTTCTTATCACTTTCAGAGCCATCACTTTTCTTTGAAGTTTCCTAAAAACCGTCACAGGTTAACAGCTTGTTTCACAATTACATAATTTCTGTTCTTCATAATTTCCATTTTGCCTTCAATGATTCTCTAGCTGAGTGAAAAGAAACTTCTTCAAAGCTACATATTATGTCTGTTTCCGGAAATGGTAAGTGCCTATATCGTTTTATTCCTAATGTACCATATCCTTTAGTGTAATACTAAATCCAAGCTGCAAAATGGGGATTAAAAAGGATGGTGCATGTAAAGAAAAATGGATATGTGGACTGGGTATGAAATACTCTTTGTTACAACCAGGTGCTTTTTAACTTTTATTCACCGAAGTGGAGGTGAATAATAGTGGATACTTACGGAGCCACAAAGCATCGAGGTAATTAACCACCACTTTCACCAACAGTGAAGATAATAATTGTTTTAGGATATACCCCACAGAAACCAAAACAATTAGTTTATTTCTGTCAATATACTGTAAAATGGTTGGAAATCGAATTGTTGAGACGGGATTTTGTCTCTTCAACTGCTCAGAGTTGATTTGTACATGTGCTTGCTAATCACTATTCACCTATGTGGAATATACTAAACAACTTTGCATTTGAACAGAAACACAAGTTAGAGGTTAAGATATTCCAAATTACTATGAAATGCACACACAAACTTACCTTATTTTAGCAGGGAAATATACTAGCATCAGCTTAATCGTGTTTTTGTTTTCTTAATTGTGTCATGAAAAAAATAAGTCATCAATACAAGGGAAATTTCAAAGTTTTTCAATGAGGAATAGTCTCTTTAGAGTTGAAATCTTGTTTGATTAGTTTCCTCAAGGTACTTTTTTTTACAAGCATGTCAAGGCAAATGAAGTTGATCCAAGAATTATATATTTACCCCCACTTCCCAAATATACACACAGTATCTGGGCATTCTGCTCAACCAAGCCATGGTGCCATTTGTTCAGCCTTTACATTTAATTTATAGATCAACTATAACCTACAACGGTGATGAAAACTGAATGAACCAAAGGTGCACAACTCAAAGCATTAGATATTTCTCCTAACCTTGAAAATAAAACTTTTCAGAAGATAGCACTTCATTGGGATAGGTATGCAAGATTTGCGAGATGTCTTTCTTGCTCCATTTTTCATCATTTGAGCTCAAAATTGGTTAAAGCTGTTAACCATAAATTCAATAATAGACTTAATGCAGTCTATTTGTTGTTTTGAAAGTGGAGCTATGGATTAAGGTCAGGTCAAAGATTACAAGTGAAAACAGATTGAGGAGAATGGTGCACTATTATCCCTTAAGTTTTTGGAACTAACATACAGGAAGAATCCTGTAGAGATTAGTCAGCAGCTCTGTAGGAAGGTGTAGGATATATACAATTTGGGCTGGAGGATAGGGAGGATAGGGTCTGTGTTGAGACCCCTTAAATGTTTATAAATGGACATCAAACAGACTGTAAAATTCTTCAAATCTTTTCAACTTTTATTGTTATTATCTTTAAGTGACCAGCACTGTGTTTATCGAGTCAATGACCAGCTTGACTTTTACTTAGTTTGTTATAATCTCTGACATTTTGAAAAAAATCATTCTCCTTGATAAACAGTCAACATCTATAAATGTTTATACAACTGGGTTAAACCCGTATGTGAGTACTCATGAATATCAAAAAAAGCTATGAATTCTTGTAAATTTGATTTCTAGTTATGAAAAAAATTATGTATAATTATATCTACTGTACCAAGGAGAACAATTTGGCAATACTTAACTTCTTTACACAAAATATCTTACGTTAAATTGTATACAGAAACCAGCTGTATTTTTTGTTTCTATTTCATATTTGTATGAAAAATAGGCCTAGTAAGACACTAAGTGTCTAGAATGATCTGCACATAAAACTATGTACATTAGGACCAGCCTAATTCTGAATTTTCTCAACTTATAAATACAACTAGATTTGCATGTGAAGAGTGCCATGGGGCACTTTGTCTTGATAAACAATAACACCAATTAGCAAAACAGATCACTGTTTTCATGAAGGTTATGTTAGCTCAAAGAAATACAGAGACCAGCTGTATGCTAACATAAAACTCCATAACTGAAAAAATACCTTACATTAAGCATTATTATGGCACTTCCAGTACCTTGCAAAACCTGCATAATGAAAATCTGTACAAAGGACCAGCCTTCCTTTAAAATTCTTCCTTGAAATAATATACACAAATGTTCCTCAAAACATAAGGCACTTATCATAATAAGAGTTCTTCAAAACCGTAATGTTCTTAAAACTGTAGTGTTGAAACAGTGCCTGCACTGTCAAATGTTTCTGGCAAATACTTTAAAAAGAGTTCACCGAGGTCACTGGGACCTGAAGGGGAGATGGTGTTGATTGAGGAGACCGGCTCTGGATGGGTGAAACAGTTCCATTACTTTGAGCCATGGCTTTTCTGGCTTCCTCCTCTTTTTTAGCTTGTTCTCTCAAATGGATCTTCATGTGGCGACGGCGTTCATCAGATCGTGCAAATCGTCGACCACATGTGTCACAGGCAAAAGGTTTCTCACCAGTGTGTGTACGGATGTGAGTTGTCAGATGGTCTGAACGGGAAAAGTTCCTCATGCAGATCCTACACTGGAATGGTTTCTGTCCAGTGTGGGTTCGCATGTGGCGTGTCAGTTCATCAGACCTTGAGAACCTTCGTGGGCATGTATCAACTGGGCATGCATAAGGCCGCTCACTTGGTGGTGTTCGTGAGCGCCCATCAGCAGGGTTGTTACGCTTTGCTTTCAGTATAGCAGAACCAGCCTTGGCAGGGCGACCTCTTTGAACAGGTTTTGGTGGCGTAGTAAGAAAGTCAGAAGGAGTTGTGGTGTGCAGAAGGAGCTTGTCCATCATTGCAGAGTGATCTGGAGACATTGTGGTAGGAAATGGAGAAGGACCACTAAGTATTGGCCATTTCATGTTCAGTGTGGCTGTAGCTTGCATAAACATCGGTGAATTAGAGTTCACTGGCTGTTGAATAGGTCGCTGGTAAAAGTTGGTCTGTGGGTTGTTTGCTGCTGAGACTGCCACCTGCTCTTGTGGAAGTTCTTGTGGAGTAGGAGTCTGTACCTTGTTTGGTGCCGAACTTACTTCCTGGGACATTGGAAGCTTTGTGTCCGAGAAAAATGTGCTCCAAGGTGTAGTTCCAGCCTGACTGATCAAGGGAGTAAGAACTGTGCGGTCAGGAATCCACAGATTGTGAGCAGGAGAACTGTAAGGAGAAGCGTGTCCGCTCGGTGGTGGAGTCGATCCAGTCGGTCCCGAAATCACATCATGTAGACTTGGGACTTTAAAGTGAGCCAAACGCTGTTGGCAGGCTTTGACAGACTGGTTTGCACCCTCCTGCTTTACGTCTGGCACAGTGTAATCCAGGTCAAGATCTCCTGAGAAAAGCGAGAAGGCAAAATCAGTGTTAGCGAACTAATGTAAATAAACCATACAAATTGGAATGAGTGGCATCATAAATTAAACATTGCCTCTAAAGGGAGCGCGTTGCGCAAGAAATATTACTTTAAATCTTCACTTACTCAGACAAGAACCCTTACTTTAACAAGAAAAGAGAGACACTTGTCTGAAAGATACACAAGACTGTTGCCCAAGTTCTTAAGTTTGACGAGAGTAATGCGAAATTGTCGAACTCGAACAATTTCACAAATTAGTTGAACGAACAGATTCGAAAGGCACTTAGCGAGACTGACGGTTAAAAATGTTCGAAAGAAAGAAATTCCCACGGTCTTATGCAGAGCCAACGCTTATTTTTGAAAACACCAACACGGCGATTCGCGTAGGTGGATTCGCTTCCGACGATAACAGACAACTTGGTCCGAACGGTGGCTGTTAGAATTTAACGTTCGTTAGTTTTACTAAGTACCTGGAACAGAAGTGTCGTGGAAATCAACCGGCTCACCAAAAATATTCGTTGGTTCATCCATGCCGGCGTGAACAAATGAAAATTCCTCGGCGCTTAGTTGAGGAACTTGGCGAGCAAGCTGAGGTGTGAGAAGACTGGCGGTATCAAAACCAAAAAGTTGGTCCGTAGCAACTTGAGCAAGGCTATCCAAAGCTTCAGTCATGGTAATCATCATGATAAATTACAAATACTTGGTTCTCCAAACGGTTGGGTTAAATAACTTGAAGTAGTTTTTTGTCGTTTAAACTGATCAACAGTATAGGTATAGGTCGAGTTATTGGCCAGCAATAACTGCGACTCGGCTTAGAACTTCGGGGTCGTTTGCGTTCCGTCGGATTTACCTCCTTCGCTTCGTAGAGCTCGACGATTCTGTGTACGAACCGAGTGGGCGACTCCTTAAATCTAAAATTCATTGTTCGTTTGTAAATGTCGTGACGTGCGAGAATTTTCCAATAATGTCAGGCAGCCAATGAACTCGGTGCTAATTTTAGCCGATGTGCGTCATGCTTTGACGTAGATAGATATTGCGTAAATGTGTATTGTTTATCAATAACCGGTATCGTCAAGCGGTTTGATCGAAAAATGACT